CAGTTACACACAGGGGATCAGATTTTTCTAAGTGCTTGGCACCTAAAAGTTTCATTGTGGTGTTTGTGGCCAGATTTTCACAGGAGCTTAGCAATCAACGTGCACACAGAATGAGAGCTCTTTCAGAATTCTGGTTTTCAGGCGTGGTTGCCGAGCTATTTTTGAAAGCCTGGCTGGCTGCACAAAACATACCCTTTAGATCTCAGTTGCTTCCCTACCTAAATTATGGTTAGCTATGTGACATATAAAACCAAATGTAGCATTCACCTTCCACAAATAAATAAATAAGGGAATAACTAATAATCAAATCAGTAAGAAACAAAGAAGAAATAACCAAGGAAAAAAGACATAATCAACACTCCAAAGTCTTCTAACACAACTTGCAGAGGTGTCAGTTCTGCAAAATGTATGAACAGATACCCAATTCTATCCCTGCTCAGGAAATCTTGTTAAGCAGATAACTTCAACTCATTGATTCCAATGAGTTGGAATTCCAACCCACTTTGTGGGTTTCAAAGAAAAGAAAGCAAAACAAGAAGAGAGTTTAAAGTAGGCAGACAGGTAGATAAAGTAGGGGAAAAACCCCAAGAAAAAGAAGCTATGCACAAAAAATTAGTAAATTTAGAAATAAAATAGAAGCCACTTGATCCACTGTGTACCTAACAAAATCACACAAGCAACTTATACTGAAAATACAAAAAAGCATCAAAGCATTCAATTTGGAACTTGCCTAGTTAGTGGCATAAAAAGGCAAGATTCAAGCGTACAGCTCCTGTGCTCTGACAACGTAGTCCACTTGATGGAGCACTGAGCTGTAGAATGAGATCATGGTAAGCTTTATAAAAGATTTTTTGAGCTCTATTGGTGAAAAAGGACTGCCTTGGAAAGGGATTTTCAGAGTGCTCCTTCACAACAACTTCCTAATTTTTTGACTGGCTTTTGTTAAAAAAAAAAAAAAAAAAAAGATTTGTATGTCGCTCTTGGCAAAGAAATGATGGAAGATTCCAGCTTTTGGGCATACGTAACAACATGACCAAGGATGAAACAGAGGAACACGTCCATCCTAAAGCAGATTCAGGACTACATACACAAATCACAGCTATTAAGAATGATGATGCTACATTCCAGGGCTGGAACAGACCCCAAGGGATGATGTAATTGACCCCTTCCCCCCAAGACAGGCTTTAATGAAAGCCTGGAAGAGAATGCGAGGAACTAAATTACCATCCAGAATCGTTGGTCAAGTGCAAAGATGAAGAGTCTGACCTGATAAAAGCACTTTCAGAGCTCCCTTAGGGAAATTCCCACTGATCACCCTAGACTGACACCAGATCATGAACATAGTTATGATTAATAAGTTCAGATTCATAAATTTACACTTCTAGATGGGTCACAGCACTTATGACATGGTTTTTTACATGTGAAGATTCTCATAGCTATTCGATGTCTGAGCGAGAGAGAAAAACTGAATAAAAAATTACTTAGATTCCTAAGTCTTCACTTGTGTCTCACCTGAACTTTTAAGAAATATTCACATCATTCTGTGCTAATTATTTTTTAAAACCAAGTTTCAGCAAAGCACCATTTCAGTAGCTTAAAGCTCAGTGTTTGAAAAAAAAAAAAGAAAAAAGGCATAGGCTACGGCTGAGGATACATGAAGTTTCATTCCTAACAGTGCTACAGATTCCCAATGGGATTTGGCAAACCACTGCACCTGGATTCCCATCTGTAAGACTTCCAAATTGCATGGTAAGGACTTCAGAGTATTATCTAAGTGCTGGGTACACACACAGCAGCCTTTCACATCACTGATCTTTCTTATACTAGAGGCTTTTAGGCTCAACTGCAGCTTAATTCACAACTTATCTTTTTTCTAATTCCTTAAAAAAAAAAAAAAAGAAAAACAGAAGATGGTTTCCTGTTCTGCCAAAAGGAAGAGAGGGTGGGCACGAGGGTAACATACAAAACATGCCCAGGTTCACCACTCTTCCTGTTTGTCTCTGCAAAATTACATGACAGATGACTCTTAGCTAGTTTCAGCTTTGCTGCTAATTTGAATGGCAACCACTCTCTTGCATGGTCTGAGGAAGAACAGTGTCTGACTCTGGAGTAATGCCTGAGTACGGATGCTGTTGCCCAAGTGCGAGCGGCAGGAAGTGCAACTGCTAGTCCATGAAAGAGTGAAAGTGACTACCTACAAAGATATCTTTACATTTTACAGACTTGTAAAGCATATTTAGGTTTCTAAATCCAAAGTATGTATCTAACTTCTCGAGGACTCTGGTGGGAGTCCTGCAGCTGTAACACCTTTACACATCTTTCCAGAATTAATAGCAAACACACAAAGAAAAAAACCCAGCAACTTATAGGGATCACTTTTATGTCTTCTTTCTGACTTCCTTCTTCCTTCTGCTTAAAATCATAGAAGCCATAGAGCATAAATATACTCTGTGAAGAACTTAATAGAATTTTTCATCTGGAATTGAGTTTTTCACATCTTTGAGATGCCAAAATCTTTCAGGTCTCAGAGCTCTTGGTCTCCTGGTTGCCAGAAATCAATGAAACTCATGGCCTCCCTCATTACAAACCAGGAAAATGACATGGAGAATATAAGAGAAGGAAATAAGGAACCTGTTGCTCAAAGTTATAATTTCACCATGATACCATATGCTGGAAATAGTTGCAGACAATATGTCTGTCTGTTTGCAGCACATCAGCTTCTATTCTCCAGATCTCATGTCAAACAGCAGTATGACATGACAGAACTAAGGGTTAATAGCTCTGCTAACTTCCCTTCAAACTCAGAAATCTCTGTTCAGCACCTCTATGTATGCTATGCGTGCTGTATTTTTAAAGCACATTTCTCAGTAATCACTGTATACTATTTTGTGTTCTAATTCAAGCAGAAGTTACACATTAGATGAATGCTGTGAGAAATCAGATGACTTGTGCAGGAGGTGAGATAAAACAATCACAGTGGTACTTTATGCAAATAAAAGCTTGACATTAATAGGTTTGGTCGGAGTAATATGGGTCAAAATTGACCATCAGTACAGTGCTTAGTACCTTATTTTGCCTGTGAACATACTGCTGTAATGGGAAAGCTGTGCGAAGAATGATGTGCCATTCCCCACAAGTGTGGCTGCGTGTGATGCATCACAAAAGGGTATGCATTCTCCCTGAAGATGATGTAAGGAACAGAAATGAACAGACTTTAGGTGGAACTCAGAAATTCCAAGGTAGCTCCCAGCAACTAGGAATGTTTAGCACATACTCTGCCATAACTAAGGCCCAGTCTTATGCCTTTTCTTCAGAACACAGAGGGAAATACTTCTACAGTTTCTCTTCTCCTGCTTCCCCCAGCAGAGTATCTCTTCTGTAGCTCCCTCACAAATGTGGACTGTGCAAGACCACAAAAGGGACAGAAGGAAAAGGCCTATGCAACGAGATAATCTGATGAAGTAAATAGAACAGCCTCTTTCCTCTTTTGCTTTACCATTTTTAGTTCTTACCATTATGTTGCTACTTCTAGCGTTTTACTTTCCCAAAGGTTTGCAAATAAATGCGTAATAGCAGCTCAAGCTGCTAAAGACAACTATAGGAAAGGCTTAAAGTGAAAACGTTTGCATGTCTAAGCTGGTGGTCTAGCGAAAAGTCAGGCGCTCCTAATGGCATTCAGGGAGATTTTGCAAACTCAAAGGACATCTAGTGGCTGCAGTTAAAATCACACATTTGTAACATGGCAATATTGAAGTCATACTACCCATCAAAGAATGGCACACGTACTTCTACCCAATAGACCTCTTATTAATAATAAAGAACAGGAAGCATTTTAAGTATGAAAGTATGCCATCGTTTGAAAATAAATACAGGTTTTTTGGAAGTAAGGACTCAAGGACTCTATTCAGCATTGCATCAGCAGAAATTCCTGGTGCATGCGAAACTCAGAACCTTCTCTTCCATGTCTTCCCCACCTGAGCTTTCAGTGTAACATAAATCTATTCTTGCTGCTGGGCACTCACAGGAGTACCTGTGTTAGGTAGTCTCATCATCATTAGGAACCATGAGCTGGGTATTTTGGGGTAGGAGCTAGCAGATGTCCTCAGACTAGCTGCACATGCAGCCTTTCTCAATTGAGAAAAGGGGCAAGGTGCCTGCTGAGTTCTTAAAGCCTGTTTGTGCGAATAGCCTAGCAAGGTTAACAGCAGAAGGGAGTGTCTACCCAGATTTCCATCCCAGCCTAGCTCAGAGTCTGCTGATCGTGAAAGGTTCATTACACCAAGACACCTGCACTGGCGCTACCACAGGCAGCTTTTAGTTCCCAGGACGGGCACGCTAAGGGTAGCTTTTGGTCTGACAGTCAATTATTGCCAGTCCATTATGACCATTCTGTATGAGACGGATGGCAGGGTCACTTGGACCACAGCGCAACTCCTGGGTGGAAATAAAACCCCAATCAACATTTCTGGTTGAAAAGTGTGATGAATGGTGTTAAGAGCATAATTTCCCTGAAATTATAACAGTAATGTGATATAATAAAGTATCAGGCCTTCATGTTCTATGATAAATTCATACTTAGTCAAAACAGGTTGCATTTAAGCTTACCATAACACAAGTAGATGAACAAAAACTGTGACACCATCATCTTAGTAGACATCTCTCTGCCCATCTTGTATCAGCTTCCTTGACTAATTTTGTATACACAGGCTGCATGGTCCCTTAGACCTTCACTGACCACTGTAGGCAGTTACCACTGTAGGCCATTTATGACTGACTCAGGTATTAAAAAGGACTTTTCAAGTTCAACCTCAAATCTGAAAGCTCACTGTGCTTCCTCTGTTTACAACACCCCTTCAAGTTATTAAAAAGAATAAGGAGCGTCCCTTCCCCATTTTTTTCCATTTTTTTGGACCAGGATCAGATCTGAGTTTTTCACCCTCTTCCAAGTAACAAGAACTCAAGAGGCAGTATCAAAATCATGCTAATAAGAGAAACATACTGTGCAGTGCTTGTGTAGCGAGGCTTAGAAGTTTGCACGTGGTTGTGGGATTAATTCTCCATCAGGATTGTCAATGTCTTCGAAATTTACTGCACCAACACAGTTACTGTTTGGATAGAAAGGAAATGAGAGATATGTGCATTATTCATAAGACATCTGGTGGAGGCAGCTGAACCATACACTGCATGCTCCAAATTTCTAGTTATTTATTAAAATGATCCACAAGAAAAAACATGGAGGTGAACTGCCCTGTATGCTTGGCATGTCCCAAGATGAAAACAATAATCTGCTGAACTTGCAGCACATGACAGCTCTAGTACATATGTGCAGAGAGAAGGCTTGGGAAGAATGGAAATATAGAAATATGTCATCTCTTGTTCTTTTGGCTATGCCCATAATCAGACTGGGATAGTCTTCCAAAGAGGACATAATGGATCCTGATTTCTAGTTTACAGGCTGGAGTCACCCGCAAGCAGAGGAGACTCAGCACATGCTCTCCCTTGGCACCAGAAAACATCTTAAGATTAGATAACACAGGCCATCTACAACTCTTGCTTCAGAAAATGAGAGATGGATTGCCTGGATCAAAAGTGTAGAAAGTAGAAACAAACCAGGGACATTGTACTTATGTATACAAAGGGATATGACAGGTTCGAGAGCTTCGGCTTACACTGTTAAAGACAAAACAGATCAATCACCAGACAGAATATTCTGACAGAATATTTATGAGGTCTCAAAAGAAAGCTGGTGACAATTCAAGGTTTTGCTCTTGGAGTGATGCAATCAATGCTCATTTGAATTTGGTAAAAAAAACATGGTAAATGATTAGATTGGCATAAATGTTAAACAACCCAGTTCGGCAGGCAGGATCATAGAATCACAGAATGGTTTGGGTTGGAAGGGACCTTAAAGACCATCTAGTTCCAACCCCCCTGCCATGGGCAGGGACACCTTCCACTAGACCAGGTTGCTCAAAGCCTCATCCAGCCTGGCCTTGAACACTCCCAGGGATGGGACATCCACAGCTTCTCTGGGAATCCTGTTCCTGTGCCTCACCACTCTGATTTTTTCCCTGATATCTAATCTAAATCTCCCCACTTTCAATTTAACCCTTTACCCCTTGTCCTGTCACTACAGGCCCTTGCAAAAAGTGCCCCCCCAGCTTCCTTGTAGCCCCTTCAGGTACTGGAAGGCTGCAATAAGGTCTCCCCGGAGCCTTCTCTTCTCCAGGCTGAACAAGCCCAACTCTCTCAGCCTGTCCCCATAGCAGAGGTGCTCCAGCCCTCTGAGCATCTTCGTGGCCTCACCTGGACTTGCTCCAACAATCTTGACTTTTAATTTCCATCCTCAAATACTGGGACTTCAGACCATTTCCTAGGTTAGTATAAGCAAGATTTCTTTAAAAATTAACTGCTTCTCTCAGAATGCTGCTGAATTTAGTTTTCTGAAATAATTAACTGCATGCAGACTTCATAAAGGAAGTGATCAGAGGACCATCATATTCACCAAAAAATGAAACTTACAAAACAACAGGTCTCTGTGGAGCGGTAAAAGGTCTTGTTTGAAATCTGTCCCAGATGCCTCCAACAACCTAAAATCATAATTAGATGCTGCTTGTAAGGCAACAATACCCAGTTAATAATTTGGTTTAATATATTTTCATACAGCAATCAGAACCAATTGCAGGACTGAATTTCAGTTTAGTAAAAATAATAATTATTACAGTTAATCACAGTAAACTAACTTAACATGAATTTTATTATATCACAACATCAGTTCTATCAACTGTTTTTTCATCAATATCCTTATCCTCTCTTTTGGTACTGTGCATGCCTACCTTCTTCTGTACCCATTTACAGGGGAGGGAGAGAGGAAAAAAAAAAAGAAGAAATAATTTGAGGCAATTACTGGAGGGTTCTGGTGACTTTAAATGCTCACTTGGGACTGTTTGTATTTGAAAACGTTGCTGTGGGTTTATGTGCATGACCTGCACCAAATTTAGCCTACATTTCATTAGCAAAACCTACAACCAGTTGGCAAGTAATTGTTCACTGACTTGGCTTATTTCAGGTTCAGGATTGTATCTCCTTTTTGTGAAATGCTGGGAAACAGGATCAGCCAACACTTCCACTGTTGGTTCTGGAGGATGGATTTTGGCAGTTAATATATTATCCCAAGGAACTTCTTCATAAGCTCTAGATCAACAACAAAAAAAAGAAAATAAAAAGGTTCCTGTATAATTATTAGTGAATGACATTGGTAGCTAGATAATAAGGAATTATATGACAAAGAAGGATGTAGAAAGTAACAAAGGTGTATATTTCTAGTTTAAAGGGAAATGAAAAGCCTGGAATTACATGTTACTTGTTGGGGAACAAGTAGTTAGGGTACAGTTTCACAGGCTTATTTTCTTTTTAAAACTTTCTCACTCACTAACTGAAAGAGGTAGTTTATCTTCCAATAAGCTTGCAGTAAAGATGGGTTTAATTTTGTCTAAATTTGAATGATCAGTTAAGTGAGATGAGACATAAATAGAGATTAGACACCAGTCATATCATGCCTGTGACAGGCGTTAAGACAGATGCACAGAATGCCCTTTTGGAAACTCCATTTTCTTTTCACTGCCTATAGAGGAAGTGGGGATGAAAGTCACAGATTGGATGCAAGCTTTTAGATAACTAAAGTTCATGAGATGAACCCTATGTTAAATGCTGTTAAAACACCAGAAGTCCCAAGTGACAGAAAAATTGTTTGTCGTCTCATACATCCTGCTACCTAACGGTGCATAATAGCAAAAAGAAGACAGAAAAAAAAAAACCAACCAAACCACCCATCCAAAGGATAAGCAAAACCTGTTTTTAAAAGAAATTATTTCTCACTTCTGAGTACTTGACTTGTAGAAATAGTCCCTTGCTTTTTCTTCTCTCCACCTTGCAGAAGGATCACTTGATTCCTAAGAGAAATCAAATGCATGGCAGAAAGCAATGCTGTCCATATACATGACACCATGATTGCTTGTGTAAAGAGTGAACTGTATGTATCTGCATTTTCCCAGTTTACTAACTTCCTTTGCATCAGAATGTGAAACATGCATTTTCACAGACATCACCAGCCAGCACTGAAGATCAAGAATGGATCTATTTCTGACAAGTTTTACTCAGGAAGAAAAACTTAATATAGTGAATACAATTTTTAAAACTAATAGAATGCCCTTGTCTCTCTACTCCTCAGGATTGTAGCTTTCCATGTGTTTCATTATTTATAAAATGTCATAGCAAGCACACTTTGCAGTCCTCACCTATGGCTGATGTATTGGTATGATGTTCATTGCTATAAACGGTGTTCCTCAGGGTTCAATTCTAGGGCCAGTCCAGTTCAATATATTTATCAACAATCTGGATGCAGGAGTTGAATGCATCGTTAGGAAGTTGGCTGATACCAAACTGGGAGGTGCTGTTAACTCATCTGAGGGAAAAGAGGCCTCGCAGAGGGATCTAGATAGATTGGAGCACTGGGCAATGACTAATGGGATGAAATTTAACAAGTCCAAATGATGGATTCTGCACCGAGGATGCAGTGACGCTGGGCACACATATAAACTGGGAGAGCAGTGTCTGGAGAGCAGCCCTGCAGAAAGGGGTCTGGGGGTGCTGGCCGACAGCCGGCTCCATCCGAGTCAGCAGTGTGAGCCCTGGCAGCCAGGAGGGCAAACCGCACCCTGGGGTGCATCACACACAGTACAACCAGCCAGCCAAAAGAGGGGATTATCCTGCTGTATTCAGCGCTGGGGCGGCCTCACCCTGAGCACTGTGTGCGGTTCTGGGGCCCATGATTTAAGAAGGATGTGAAGGTCCTCGAATGCATCCAGAGGAGAGCAACAGAGCTTGTGGAAAGACTGGAAAGCATGTCCCATGAGGAGCAGCTGAGAACTTTGGGCTTGTCTAGTTTGGAGCAAAGGAGGCTGAAGGGTGACCTCACAGCTCTCTACAGATTCCAGATGAGGGAAGTGGAGAGGGAGGTGCTGATGTCCCAGCTACCCAGTGATAGGATGCATGGGAGTGGTTCAAGGCTGCATCAGGGGAGGTTTAGACTGGAGATTAGGAAGCATTTCTGTACAGAGAGGGTGGTCAAACACTGGAACAGGCTTCCTAGGGAGGTGGTCAATGCACCAAGCCTGTCCTTAACAACTTTAACAACATGCTTTACCTTGGTCAGCCCTGAAGTGGTCAGGCAGTTGGACCAGATGATTGCTGTAGGTCCCTTACAGCTCTGAAATAGTTCTGTTCTGTTCTGTTCTGTTCTGTTCTGTTCTGTTCTCTTCTCTTCTCTTCTATTCTATTCTATTCTATGCTATTCTATTCTATTCTATGCTATGCTATGCTATTCTATTCTATTCTATTCTATTCTATTCTATTCTATTCTATTCTATTCTATGCTATTCTATGCTATTCTATTCTATTCTATTCTATTCTATTCTATTCTATTCTATCATGTGCAACAACTTAAGGACTATGCATAGTTTCATCAGTGTAGAGGATGAAGGATGCCATTACATTTTCAATATGTGAAAGACTTAATTAGACCTGCGCTATGATGTTTTTTGATTTACATATTTGGTTGTGACTTGCACGAAATAAGGCAGTACCTAAGCATTAAGTATATGTGATTTATACCAAATATGAGGGTTTGGACATGATGGCATTTTTGCTCTAATTCTGTCTCCAGTTACACATAACTGATATTGGTAGCATCAGTCTCACATTACAGTCTAAATGCCTTAAACAGTAAAAGTACAAAAAATTAAAATTATTGGAGTGATGGCCACCATTAAAATCGGGTCATGCTAGCATACAGCTACCTGAAAAATAGTCCTTATTTCAATATAATTAGATGAAGAAATGAAAAAGTCCAATTTCACTACACTACTGTAATCACTGCCAAAATTATGTTAAATGGAAATCAGACTAGAAACAAAACAATTTAAGTATCTTTTCTGTCATTACAATAACACCAGACACTTGCCTTGAGATTGGGATTCATACAAAATGCAAAAATTTTGTTTTGGTCAGGTACAGCAGAAGCAACTTTCACTGGAGTTCTCCAACCTGTAAGAAATTCCTACTGTGGTAATCAATTTGCAGCAATCCTTACTGTTTTAAACAACTCTTAGCTTCCCACAAAAATCGATGTACCAATGTTCAAATACCTGTTACCACTCTGAATTACAGAATTCCACAAGAATACATTAAATTACATGGAAGATGAAAGTAAGTGATAAATAATATCACAACATACAAGACTGTGGTTTGGCCTACTTCACATATTGTCTTGTACTGTACTAACTGTATAAAGGAAAGTATCCAAATTAGCAAACAACAATAAAAGCTTGTTCATGCAACCTGAGCTAGTAATTGCATATTGTATTTCTACAGTTACATAATCTTTGCTAACTCTGAAAGCAATGAACAAGCTGTTCCATGAGCAATAGGTGACTGGTTTCCTGAAGACATTTCTCTCTCTCCTTCATTTTCCCAGTGTCACATTCTAATAATTTGAGCTCACTCTGACCAGGTAACGTAAGTCAGGCTTACCTAGCAAGAGGCCCTATCCTGCCCTTACTGTAGAGTCACATATGTACTGATTGGTGAGACAGTACACACATGCTGAGAGCAGTGAGCTGTGGCCAAATAGGAAGATGTTGTAATGTCTGAGTTTCAGCTCCCTCAAGAAGAACACTCATTTATGTCTTTCCTCTCCCCAGACCTCAACTTTCAAATATCTTGCAGGGGTGCTATTATCCTTGAGAAGTTCATACCTCCGTCAAATTTGGCAGAAATTGGCCAATGGGATTAAAAGTTATTAGGAGAGAACCAATAGATAAATAAACAAGATGAATGGAAACAACTTATCTCTTTAGGGAATCAGGATAAAACCCACAAAATAATCCTATAAATAAGGTAAGGGATATGTATGAGAGCATCATTCAAATTGTTGTGCCATTAACTGGCATAATGCTTTTGGTGACTTTGGGAAGGGTGTATTTCTAAATGCATTTTATTGTACTATACCGAAGGGGTAGGGAGCCACACAGCTGTCACACCACTCTATGAACACTGGAAACCATTATTTTGTATCAAGAACATAGTTATTAGGTAGTTTTTAAACTGCTGTCCACTTCCAGACCCCTAAAAATTTCCAATCCATATGAAAACTTTCATGTAGCAAATTTAAGCTAATTCACAATAGTTACTTTTCCTAGTTGTTTGTAGAAATGTTAGGTATGACTTGTATAAAATAATTCAAAGACTAGAAGTTGAAAAACACTGTGTAGAATGCAAAATTAGTTATTGCAGAACTTAACACTCTGACAGAGTTTAAACGAATATCACAGCTTTCAGTAAAAGAGACCAAGTTTAGTACCCCAATGCTATATGAAAGTACTGAAATAATAGGATCTTTTTTTAAATATGACTTTTTTTAAAAAAGAACATTTTGCACAGTGTGCTATAACTTTAAGTTGCTGCTTTTGAAAAGCTTGACAGAATTTGTGGACCTTTGAACTGTGAAGAACTTTCAAACTGAATCACTCTCCAATTAAAACAATTCTTTTGGGAAGTGTCTCAAACAGGTAATGTGCTTGCAGTAAAATTGGTGGCTGCGTCTTCATTGCCTCAACTTTCTGCAAAGTTTAAATGCTGTCTGCAGATCTACAGCTTGTACTCATGTGGGAATGCTTTCACTAGGTTTATGTCTGAAATATTGCCATTACTTAATATGTACGCATGTTCTAGTGCCCTCTACAGTAAAGAGGTAGATGGCTCAAATATCTGTCCATATGTCCTAGTAGTTCCATAAAAGTAGTCTTCCTATGGTTCACTGATTAAACAGCTAAAGGTTACAACTGTTATTCCTTGTGTTGCATGTGTAAAACACCCATGGCAGCTCAATGTCCTTAGGAGGACATGATATAATTTTAAAATTGCTTTGATAATTGTGCATATGCATCTCTATAGACCTCTTCTCCCACACTGTATGCTGTAATTTGACACCTGAACACTAAGGCCTACGGCTAGGATGACTAATCTTCCAACATTCGCTTCTCCTTTTGCTTTCAGTGGAAAGATCTAGTGTAAAAACTGAAATATTTTTTTCTTTAAATCAACTTAGTGGAGGTTTCAATGCCCCAAATGATTTGCTCAGTCCACAGGATTGAAAATGGCATGATCTGTTCTCATCCAAGTTGGGAACTCTGTGTCACTTTTAACTAACGGCAATCTTAATGACACTGTCGGTTTCAGATTCTTACTTAAAATAATCTCCTAATCTGACAACGCAGGATTCAGTGATGGATAATGAATTTGGGGCATTTTTGGTTAGGATTCTGAGTCAGAAACTGAAGATGTACTCATTCACATCTCTAAGATGTTTCCCAGAAACCATGAAAGCCAGAACCGTGTGTTTTGTTTTTAAAGGAAAAGGTAAGATTCTATGTCACCACGTAAAGATATATGCAGAGAGGTTTCACAAAACCAACAGTCTCACAAGCTTCACTGCACCTTACTGTCATTCGAAGTGTGCACTGTTTCTGACCTCTTATATTTTAAAATTAGAGTATTGACTTCAGTGGGCCCAGCAAGGGATAATAATTGAAGGGTTTACTGTCCCAGATTATTTTGCTTAGTTCTTTGCTTAATTATTCTACTTCTCTTTATATATGAAAAATAAATATAACCTATTAACACTACTTCCTCTCTCTTCCTTTGAAAGAAAAGGCTACAAATCACCCTCTGAAAATTAATTATAAATAAACTTAAACCCCATCAGTTTATATTGGAAAGACATGCATGAAAAAAAAAGCTGCAGAAATAGAACAAAGTTGTTGAATAAACGTAGCATCACTCTGCTATTGGGCAAGTGAAAAAAAAACACACAGTGAAACATGAAATACATAACTGTAGGGACGATAAATAATAAAACCCTTAGTGAAACCACGGTTGTTTTATTCAATGGCACTCAGCCCTCGAGAGATTCTTCTGAGTTTTTATGCACTATTTCCAGATGAACTACAAGCTTATTAGGCAGTATGCTATTCATATTTCATTGTGCTATGGGTAATTATTTAATAGCACAGATATTCTTGAGCCTTCTGTAGGCCATTTTGCATTCTTAGTTGACTTTGTTTATACGCTACAATAGTTATGAGTTATGTGTGTTATTTATGAGTGTCTGTGAATTGTCAAATTGATGTTTTTCAAGTTGCACCTTTATTGCTCTTTGCTTTACATTTTGTTGCCTCTGAGTAACCTTTCTTCTTGCTCTTTCTGCAGGCAGGTAAAAGGTTTTATCTTACTAAGTACTTATGTTACAAACTAGGGCTGCACCAGGATTGCCTGCAGTCATTTACTATCATTATTCGAAAGGCAGGAGAGTCTGGAATCCTACTTTGATATGCTTCCCACTCCATGTGCTGCTTAATCCTGGATTGCTCCTGGATGATTACTTTTCTAGAGTAATGATCATGCTGGAGAAAATGCTTCTTGCTTCAGGAGAGGAAGCACTGGGAACTCTTCCTATACAAAGGCCATTGGAAAATGGCTGTTACTGACCACAAACACACCATCTCTGGATCATGAATCCCTGGTCCACTGACCATCACATGGTAGCAAAATACGCAGAGAAAAGTATGTTGACATCCTTTGTTAATTATGCACAGTCTTGGGTGGAATACTGGACTAGTTGGGCTCTTGGACAAATCCAAATATGGCCAGTCTAGTAGTGGCATGAGTTACCTTATTATTTCTTATAGAAACAGGTCACTATGAAGTCTATAGGTGAACCCTATAGTGCTTCCCATTTCCCAATTTTTGAAGAAAACTGCAACTACAGATGTGTCAGCTTGCAGTAGGGGTAAGAAGTCATGTTTTGCTCTTCTCAGATTTATTAAATACCCTGATTCCTTCTGCAGTCCCCATGGTCATCTCTGCGGTAAGCTACACAAAATAGAGTAATAATTACAAACTGGAGATGAGGGCTTCGTCGCCATGTTTCCAGGTGTAAATATACCTGCATGGTCAAATTCTGACGTCCTCCTAAACACTGCAAAGACACTTGAGACCGCAGAGAAGAGGTTATGAAATTCTGTTGTCATATGAGTGAGAAAAGGGGACCGTACAGGCAAACACCATCAAATTCCTAAAGACCTTGTCTCCTAGTACTGAGCGCCTTCCCTCGACTGACTGAGAATTCGTGAAGAGTATTCTGGCTCCCTTCTCTGGCAGGCTCTGATTTTCCAGTCTTGAAACAACCTTCTTTGTCAGCCTCTCACCTCTGCTTTGCTATCACAGCCTCACTGTTGAATAAACTTGCTTTGCTCAGCAGACACAGGAGGCTGCTGGGGAAGTTCAAAGTAATACTGTTAACTGACAAAGCCATAGCCCTACATCTTCTCACAACAGAGAACCTCCTGTCTACTGCGGATGTTTTATATGCCTCAGCTCATCCGCCTCAAAGGCTGCTTCTGCCTCTTTTTTTTCCACTCATCCCCAGCACACCAGAGAAAGTGGCTGTAGAATTTGCTTGCAAAACGCCTGACTGATCTCCCTTTCAGCACAACTTCCCCAAAACAATTTAGCTGTGGAATGTCTGAGGACTGATATCTAGAAGTATTAGCAGCTTCCATCACATCCCGTGCCTGGGGGTTGGTAGCTGGGGCTCTCTGAATAATACAGCTGAAATCTGGACTTTGTTTATGCAGTCTCATCAAAAATAGTAGCTTAAAACTCAACTACTTTTTAGATGTTTATATTTAGGTATTTGTAGTTAATAACTCAGCATCACAGTAAAACTTGTAAATGAATACTAGTTTTAAAAGCACATTTGCACACCTATCCTTAAGAAATTTATGCTGAACAATATTTCAAGATTTGCCCCTGAGTTAAGCATGAGTTTTTCCTACAGCTTCAGTGGAGTCAGTATTTCACCCAGTGAAAACTCTCCACCTCCTTCACCTCTTGCCCCAACAAAAAATCACCGGAAAGCCACCAGTCGGTTTCTATCTGCTTTCTGGATATCTACTACTATCTACTATCTATCTACTCTCCATTTC